TGGCTATAGACAGGAGTTAGTCTGATGCTAGTCTGTTGTGGGCTTCTTTGCAGTCTGGAGGCCTGTTGAGAAGGAGATTGAATAGCTCTGCTAGGGATGCCACAAGGTCTTCCTGGTCTCTCTCTGGCAGACCTCTTATCCTCAGGTGATTGTGACAATTGCGTTTGTCTATGTCATCCATAGAGCGGTGTTGTGCTGACAGGCTGGAGGTGTGCGAGGCCTTTGCAGCTTGTAGCCGTTGCATTTGCGTGTACAGCATTTCTCGGTTGTCCTCCTGGGAGGTGACTATCTCCGACACGGCAGACGTCCGTCCCTATTATATCCAGCTTCGATTGGAATGAGGTCTCCAGTTTGCCTAGCATATTGACTAATTCACTCTTGGAAGGTAAGTTTCTTATGTTTTCCTTAAGATATATGTCTGCAGTGTATAGGGAGCCCATCAATCCCTTAGGGCTCGATGGAGCTGAGCCATCCTGCGAAGCATCAGGTGCCATGGTTAGACCTGAGGCACCTTGTTGATGTTCCGCATTGTTGCGGAAAAACTTAGTAAGGGGGCCAGATTTGCTCGGAGGATGTTTCCCAGAGGATTGCTGGGATGCAAGGGATCTTTTTGGATGTCCCATCTTGGATTTTGAGCCAGATGATAGCAGATTTACTGAAGGCTTTCTCGGAGCGCTAACGATGCATGTCCATGCAGCTTGGACGTTGGCTCCACCCCCCTTCGTCTTATCTGATTTTATGTAGTCAGATGTCATCATCTTTATCCATGTGTTCGTTACCTTCTCTCCTCCCCCGACTTTTCATTTTTATAATATTTGCCCATTGTCACAGCAAATATTAAAACATGCAGAATTTAGGACAGCAAAGGACAAGACTAGGAAATAGCATATCACCGGGCCTTAGAATGCCCAGACTAAATGTTACACAGAGAAAAAGCATAATCAGAGAGGAGTTGAGGTCAAGGTAATGGAGAGACAGTGAAAACAAGAACTAGCCAGAGTCAGGTACACGCCCAGACTAAATGTTACACAGAGAAAAAGTGTAATCAGAGACGAGCCGAGGTCAAGGTAACGAAGAGACAGTGAAAACAAGAACTAGCCAGAGTCAGGTACACGGTAATCAGTCAGACGGACAAACAAGACATAAATGGGTTAAAGATAAATTCAGAGTCAGATACAAGGCCAGGGTCAATATCAGAATAAACACGATAGATCAGTGGTTCCAAAACTTTTTAGGTTCCAGGCACCCTTAATATTTCAATATTTTTCCAATGCACGCCAAATCAAAACATTTTCTAGGTTGTATACACGTACAGCACTGCGGCATATACTGGGTCCCTAATCTTGGGAGTGGCACTGGTAGATTATTTAAAGAAACAATACAGGCACAATAACCACTATATTACGTTGTAGTGGTTATGGTTCCAGTAGTGCCATAGTGTCCTCCCGGGGTAAGTAGTCAAACTGTTTAAGAACAGTTTGACAACTTACGTGGGGTCTTCCAGGATAGGGGCTGAAGTATGTGTGTGTGTGTGTGTGTGAGGGTTGCATGTGTGTGTACAGGTGTGCATTGTGTTTGTGAAGGATGTAGTTTGTGTGTGTGTGAGGGGTGCAGTGTGTGTGTGTATGTGGGGTAGTTTGTGCATGAGGGGTACAGTGTGTGTGTGGGGAGGGCGGTTGTGTGAGGGATGCAGTGTGTGTGGGGGTGCAGTGTGTGTGTATGGGAGGACAATGATGTGTATAAGGGGGTGATAATGTGTATGGGGGGTAGTGTGTGTGTGTGTGTGTGTATGGGGGGTAGTGTGTGTATGGGAGGCAGTGTGTGTGTGTATGGGGGGAGTTATTGAGTGGTTGGGGTCTGTGGGGGTAGGAGGGCAAATTAATAAATATATACTTTGTTTTTGTTTTTTATTAAAAATAAAAATTATATCCCCCTCTCCCTGCGTACCTTTGCCTGGAGGGGGGACATTTCCTGTAATCCCTGGTGGTCCCAGTGGAGACAGTGAACTCTAGCAGCCTCAGGAGCTCTGATCTCGCGAGAGGAGAACCCGGCGGAGCTGCAGGTTAGAGCTCCCCCCGGGTCCGCTCTACCTCCCTCCCTGCCGGCTGCCAGCAATACAGTGCTAGCAGGCCAGAGAGGGAGCTCTCTGAGAGAGCACAGTTGCCGGTACTATAATGATAGCTCCGGGAAAATAACTTGCGGCTCCCCTGTGTGCCCGTCACAGTTTGGCAACCGCTGTGATAGATCAAAGAACGCATTAAAGGATACTGAAACAGAAGCCACGATAGGGCAAGTGGATAGGGCCAGGAAAGTTTAAATATCCTTAACTAACATTTGATTGTCCCACATCATGCCCACGCCCTGAAAAGTGTGTGTGTGGGGGCGTCGGAATGATGTGGGCCAATGGGAGCCTTAATCTACTTTTGGCTCCCACTGCCCCTTTAAGAGCACGCTCGTGATGCGAGTCACGCTCCTACTGGCAGGCGGGCCGCGTGACCGCTTATTGCGGTCAGTGCACATGGCCCACTCAGAAGAGAAGATTGAGCCGTGCGCGGCTCGTGTTTAAGCAAGACTGCTCGACCCAGCTGGCCCCTGGATAAAGTATCACCACACCCATAGTATCTTGACCCATGGCTATTATTTTGTGGCGTTTGCAAACTTTTTACATTTGTTTTTATAATATGTTTAAAGGGACACTATTGTCACCCAGACCACTTGATTGCCGTGAAGTGGTTTGGGTGCAGTGTCCCTTTCACACTTAGTCTTCCAATGTAAATCATTGCATTTTCTGAGGAACTGCAATAATTACATTGCAGGACTAAGACTGCCTCTAGTGGCTGTCAATCAATCAGAAAGCCACTAGAGGCACTTCCTGCTTGCTAACTGATTTTAGATCGCCTAATTGACACTGGACGTCCTCACGCTCTGCATGAGGACATACACCATCTGTAAAATCCCCATAGGAAAGCATTAAAGCAATAATTTCACTATGGGGAGAGCCTAATTCACAGTAGCCCCTCCTGTTTGATAACATCGAGGAGACCCAGCATCGAGAGACATTAGTGCTGGAATGGAGTAAGTGACTAAAGGGTGGTAGGGGCGCAAGGGAGGGGGGACCAGAGGGAGCTATAATGTACAGTGCTGCAGAATTTGTTTTCACTTTATAAATAATAGTGTAAGGAATACAGATTTGCATTCCTTATACTATAGCATCCCTTTAAATGGCCTAGGCATGCTCTGCCATATGCTTGCCTAGTGATACTTTTAGTACATAGTACTGAGTTGTGCCACACATTTATGTAGATAATTAACCTATTTTTATTTTTGTTTCTCCTATAGCAATATATGACATAACTAAGAAGTTACACCATTTACGTTGGTACAGGTGAATATCTGATTGCATAAATGCTGCATTTATTCAGATCTGCTTCTGTGGATCGTTTATCTTGATTGCAAGAAGCACAGCCAGAGCAAAACACGTTTCAAGTTACATGGTGGAAGTGGGTGGAGTTTTTAATTGATTACCCATGTGGCCATATTAACACCCTATAATATCCACTTCCAATGGTTTGTTTTAAAATTGCTTTTTATTTGATATTATGATCAGTTTGTGCAAACATATATATTTTACTGAAATTGCACCCAAAACACCTGTTCCATTTTTCTGCTATTGAGCCCTTGCTGCTCAATAGATCATTCTGAATGAAGCATAAGCTGTTCTGGCTATACTGGAGAAATACGTTTTTTTTTTTTATACGTGCTACCAATGCCAATTCTAGGGTTACAGACGCCTGGGTGCAGAATATTTTTTACCCCCTCTCCCCATGTGGGCAAGGTCATCTTACTAACCCCTCCCCTTTGCAAATTGTCAGACATCCATGTTTCTATGGCAATGACTCCACCTTTCCATCTACAAGTCCCACCCATTTTTCTAATCAGATACATTCATTGACATTTACAAACACTCTCACTGAGAGAGAGACACTGACAGACGCACACTGGCAGACACAATCTCATCGATTTGAAACACACTCACTGACACACAACCATTCTATACATGTTTGTTTGTTTCCTGGAACACAATGTCACCTTAATAAACTTGAAACGATCTTGTCAAGAAAAAACAAAAAAAGGTCACTGACAGCCAAGACATACATACATACATAACATACACACGCACACACACCCACTGGCAAACAAGTACTCACAGACACAGAAACTCTTGCACACTCACGATTTAATTTAATTTTTTGAGGCCCATCCAGCCTCCCTACCTCTCCCAGGGGTCCTGTGTGGGGCTGTACTGTAATTTTGCAGTTTCTCACTCCTCTTACCCGCTGTTTGGTATGCCAAGGCTGGAGTGAGGAACTGCAAAACCTCTCTCCCTTGCCCCTGGAAAACCTGATTCACTGCCTCCTCTCCTCCCTCAGAAATATATAATCAGATTAGGTGCCTACTCTGCCTTAGTTAATAAGCGCTGCTTCGGGGGTGCCCTAAGCTAGCCAGACAGCCACCTCCTGGGTACCCTGTGACAGGACTCATCTCTATGCCCCCACCCCCCACATTTGGGTGCCTGGGCACAGTGCACCTCCCCTGGATTGGCAATGTGTGATGCAGTTATAAACATTAAACGTCATTACAACACATTCTCTTGTACACTTACTGATTCAGGTCCAGCAGGAGGTGGTTTTACATTGAGTGGACTGATCTGTTGATGGTATCCAGAGGATTCTGATTTATTTATACATTTTTGTTTTTTAATTCTTTATTTAAATGACAAGAAAAAATATATATCATATCACATTTTTGAAATACACAAAAGTCATAGACAGAGATTACTGTCTTTTTCGATAAGGAAACAAAATTACAAACAAACACACAACCAAAAAGAAAGCACCATATACCACAGAGACAGACTCTGATGTCATTACAATGTGCATATAAATAACTGTCAACCTTGGCATAGTTTATTATTATTTATATAGTGCCAACAAATTCCGCAGCGCTTTACAGTGGGTGGACGAACAAATATGTAGTTGTAACCAGACAAGTTGGACACACAGGAACAGAGGGGTTGAGGGCCCTGCTCAATGAGCTTACATACTAGAGGGAGTAGGGTAAAGTGACACAAAAGGTAAGGTTAGTATTAGACTAACAAGAAAATAGAAAGATGGGTGAATGAACAATAGCGATGGATATAAACCAAGTGCAGGCCAGCCAGTATTAGACTAATGACAATTGCAAGAGAGGAATCAGTCAGGAGCTATTAACAGTTTAATTAATACGCTTTTGTGAAGAACTGGGGTTTTAATGATTTTTTTTAAGGAGTGGAGACTGGGTGAGCATCTAACGGAGGAGGGAAGGGAGTTCCACAGGAACGGTGCAGCCCTCGAGAAGTCTTGCAGGCGAGCATCAGAGGTGGGTGTACGGACAGAAGATAGACATAAGTCTGCAGCAGAACGTAAGGGTCTCGATGGGACATACTTGTGTATTAGGCAGGATAGATAGGTGGGAGCAGCATTAATGGTGTAACATCTTGAGAGTTGGAGCCAGGCTTGGAACAGAACATAGAAAATAACGAGGATACTGATTTTAAATCGCGGTTATTAGAGCCAATCTTGGGCTCTATAACCAGTAACTAGCTGGCACTGCGTACACATTTATCCTACATTTTGATATTGTTCTACACGATTATTGTTATATGTTTAATTTTTCACGTTTACCTTAATTATATGGATATCAATCCATAAGAATACCTTTTGAGCGCACCTCACTGTAGTGTTTCACTGTATTTTTGCACTTTTACTGGAATGGGAGGGGCCAGTCACTTTTTTTATTATTATTTATGTAGCGCAAGCAAATTCCGTAGCGCTGTACAATGGGAGTTTTTGCTGCTCAACTGTGAATTATTTATATTGAGCACCTATTGATATCACTTAATATTGTTTAATGTGTATATGTACAAGAGGCTACGGGCTGAGGGACCAACTGCACTGGGAGTTTCCATGGCATGTTACATCACACTTTTATAGTGTTAATTTTGTTTACTTAATAAGAATATTTGCAAGCGACAATTTGAACTGTCCCACTGTGTGTCACAGCGTGCATTCAATGCCTAAATCTCCAGTGTTCTTGTACAGTTTTCCCACAATAGGTAGTTCCAAGCTTTTTTCTGTGTGGTACGGTATTGTCCACTTTGCTGAGTGCGTTCTAGTGTTCCCAACATCTCAGCCATGTTCCTCAGTAATACAGAGGCTTAAAGCTTTTTTTTTTTTTTTTTTTTGCTGTGAGCTCTGCCATATTTTCATTTTTATAAATGAGACAGTTTTGAAGGTTATACATAGTAAGAGTGATATTTCCAGATTTTGGAATACAGTTTAAGAGTATTTTGCACTTATAATTATTTATTATTATTATTTTGCAATAATTAAAGGTGTTTCTGTGCTTTGCCAATTTTATGGAAGGAGAAACACTTTATAACATACTTTATTTGGTATGATAAAGCACCTATTGCATGATCACTTTATAATTGATAGATTGTGATTATACTGATGCGCTATGCTCATTGTGAGGTTTTTATTTTCATGCACTTTGCAAAACAAAATTTCATTCATAAATTCACTCACCTTTTATATGCCATAACTTATCACCAGCCTGTAGAGGAATCAATTTCTCTACCAGAAAGGCATTAGCTAATGGCTAAACATATCCCAAAAACCCCAGATACCCACTCCTTCAAAACAGTAAAAGACATTTCAATGGGTTATACTATTCCTTGCAGTCATGGGAGTGAATCAACTTTCCTATTTCTATGTTAGCATTACATTACCATTCCAAAGATCTATAAAGATTGCCATTGCTATTTTTTATATATATATATTTATTTTAGAAATCTATGATTAACTGTGGTTACTGTATGTGGGCATTATGTTCCAATGAAGAAATTATTCTTATATTCTGTTGCCATTTTTAGTATGCTGAACTGCAAATATTTAAAAGCAAGATATATGACCATTTTTGTCACACATACTGTATGTACGAAAATTACTTTTATACCAACATTCCAGACCTATACTATCTAATTTGTTATGGACAGGAATAAATGGCAATTCACTTGCATCCCATTAGGTCTTTCCTTGACACTTTGGTATTTCACTATTCTTTTAAAACCTGTGATCTCTATGTTACGAAGTTGAGGAGTGAGATTATATAGCTGACAGATATTATTTTAATGTCCCAGACTCAGTTCATAATTAAATTCCATATGGACTGGACCATATCTCTATTAACAAATCCTTGTTTTATCGGGCACACAGGGTTATTTACTAAAGTAATGAGTTAAATATTATTAAAATAGCTATAATGGAAACATTATCTAAGTTCGCTATACTTACCACACCACTTCTTTGGCCATAAATTTGAACTTTACATTGAATTCTCACATTAGCAAATAACACAAAGAAAAACATTCTTACCCTTACTCAGGAATCAGAGTTCCTATACTTTGTAGTGAATTCACTGAGTGCAGCCCTAAACCTCCCAGAAAGAAACTAGAAGCTTTGGATATGCTGGGTCTGGATCCCATACATTCGCCTGCCTCTCAGAACTTGAATTTTCTTTACCTGAGTTCACACTTGGAAAAGTAAATTGCATTATTAATGTATATTGCTAAACTATCTCCACAGGTCATGCTCTTGTTGAATACTTTCGAGCAGGTACATATCCCTTTGTATACAAATTGAGAGGTATTTGCCTCGGAGAACCTCTACTTCCCAAATATGTTGGTTTGGTTGGTTCTCCAGTCCAATCATTAAATTCTTGGAATGATAATTAAACTTTTTTTTTTTAAATGCTTGGTTTCATAAACTTACCATTTTATGAGGTCTTGTTTCCATCAAAATGGTGTCAGATGTTAAGGCCATTAATTTACGATATAGATGGTTCACTTCAGAAAGACTCAATTTCATTATACATTAATGTACCAAAACTAATCTAAAATCAATTGTTTACTCATATTTTCCAACATCAGCCTGTGTGGTCCACTGTCTCCTTCCTATTATTCATTTCCTACTGAGCAACTACAATGCCAGATACCGAGTAAATGACAAGCATCTAAGCACGATCAGGTAAGTAGAAAACAATTCATCTTATTCCATCTGAACAACATTAAAATTATAAAGATGTTAGCAGTACACAATGGGCGGGAGTCAGGGCCGACCCAAGACATTGTGCTGCCTGGGTCCAAAGATGAAATGCTTCCCCGCCCACTCCCGCACCAAAAGCATGCCAACATCCATTATGTTATGCAGTGTGTGTAGTGACTGCAATGTTTGTTTGTGTAATGGACGATGTGTGTGTAGTTTATTAATTGTGTGTGTATATTGGATGCAGTGTGAATGCATTGAGGGGCAGTGTATAGGAATTTGACAGTTTGGAGAGGGCAGTATGTAGGAAGGTGACAGTGTGTAGGAAGAGGACATTATAGGGGGGCAGGGTGTTAGGATGACAGTGTGGGGAGCAGAATGACCGTATGTGCATTAGTAAGGGCATGTTGTCTTACATACACTCATTGACGGTCATTGTCTCACACACCGTTTAACCAACACACACGTTCACTGACACGAACACACTCTCAGACACACATGCACTCACTGATAAACACACACTGACTGACAGACACACACACAATGACAAACACAGACTCACTGATATGATAGACACTCACTGACAGATACACACACTCACACATTCTCTCACAGATACTCACAAATTATTAATAATCTTGAAATTTGTCCACCCAGCCTCCCTACCTTTGGGAGAGCTGGAGTGGATCTGTTAGAATGCAAGCTCATGAGAGCTGTAATCCTCCTGCTCTACTCCCTCACAGCCTGTCCACTAATGCCGGGAGCCAGAATATGACATCATATTCCGGCTGCCTGCATCAGGAAACGGCACAAGGGAGCACAGCATTAGGCCGGAGCTGGGGGAACACAGAGGATGTCAATGTGGGCAGAAAAAGAAAAGAAAAAACTGTGTATAAGAGGCGCTTATAGATTATGAAGAACAGTATAGACAAATGCTACAACACTCTACATGTGAAACACAATTTCAGGACAATCAGTCTAAAAAATATAAAATAAATCAACTCATAACCTGTTATTCTAAACGAGTTATTTATCTTATTACATGCAAATGTGGTTTGAATTATGTAGGTAGAACTACCAGATCCCTCCACATAAGAACACAAGAACATATTCGCAATATTAGGAAGGGTTTTGATAAACATAGCCTGTCTGCGCATTTTAAATATAAACACAACTGTGATCCAACCCAATTAGAATTTATAGGCATACAAATTGTAAATATTAACTGGAGAGGCGAAGATCCAATAAGGAAAATGGGACAACAGGAAATGAGGTGGATTTTTGACCTCAATACTATGAGTCCCACTGGCCTCAACAGTGATTTTGAAATGTGTCATTTTTTGTGATACTATTCTAAATAATATATGTGTTTTAATATTACAATATATATATGTTTTAATAAGATAATACAGCAATGTTTTAATTTAAGATCAAGCTGTGACTAAAAGATACCTTTAATAGCCTTTTATGTATTTGAAATTGTACATTTGGTAACAATTAGGAGCTATAAGCTCCATTCAGTTTTTATGTGTTTTGAAAAATGTCTTCAAATGAATTGATTGACCCATATTGATTAAGGGGCATAGGGAAAGTGACAAACGCAATGTATTAGCGTTCTGTCTCTTTTCCCATACTATTGCCCATAAGCAAAATGGCGACCGCGAGTACCGGAAGTGACGCAGCGATGTGCCTGACGTCACTTCCGGTTACGGCCGTAAATGAAACGGAAGCCACAGGTACATCCCCCTAAGGCAAATACGATTGGATAATTACCTGGACCATACACCAATGAGAGGACACACCGGGATATTTAAACCGGGACAAAAATCAGAGCAGCACACATCCGATTGAGAAAGCCCTCAGGCAGGGCGAAACGCGTCTCGGGAAAGGAGGACATACATGGGACATTTTTTATTCCTTTTTAATTCTATGCATATATTTTTTATGTTTCTTTGCCAGTGGGCATAATAAATTAATATCTTTATATACAAGTTCCTACTGACCTTCACTGAAGCTGCTCCAAGAAGGGTTGGTGTCTCCCTAATTTAGACACTAATGCTGAAAGTTTGAGCCAATACTGGGGCTCAAAACAAGGTGAGCGTTCATTTATTTATATATCCAATTTACCTTTGGCTGAAATTACTGCACTATACTGGTTTTCCCTATACATATTTTATTTCTGAGGTGATTTACCTACGTGCTCAAAAGAAAGGGGATAGTACCACCAGACGGTACCAAAAAGCGCAAGTGATCTGAGCCCATCCTTATTTGGGCTCTGGAATACGTGAGTTGGCACTTCTCAGGATTACTATATAAATTCTATATGGTTATACAGAGTTGCACTATGATTTTGTATATGTTTCTCTCTTTGTTATATATATGCTGAAATTTTAAGTGATCTTTACAATATTAGGACCAGATGACCCTTTAAGTTGGGTAGGTGCCTGTTACCATCACTATTTGCTCCACTCATATAGGTGAACTGCCTTTGGCTTTTTTACCTTTTTCTATAGTTTTGTCAATGTGGGCGTTTGGGGATATCACAGCACTGTTAAAGTGCTGCCTATGGATGGGCCGGCTCTGGGTGGAGTGGTGTCACAGAGAAAAAGAAGCGAACACATTTTGTGCCAAATAGGCACTTCCTCAGAGACAGTAAAGTTGATGCCGCCCTTAGCATTTCTCTCTCTCCTTTTTAATAGGCTCAATTTATTTCCAAGTCCACTTTTTGTTTTTAAATGAATTTGTATATTGGAGGTGTGTCCTGGGTAATTAACATTGTTTTATAGCCTGGAGAGATGTCTCATTGGAAGTGCACTGCTAACGTTTGTATTGATTTAATGTTATTTGGATGGAACAAAGTAAATTGTTTTCTACTTACCTGGTTTACTTGTCCTGGTGTAGCTGCTGCTTTTTCAGTGTGTGGAGAACCCACCAACCAGAACCCAAGGGGTAAAAGCATTTGGAATAATATATTTCTGCAAATGCAATCAGCCTCCAAACTGCCTTCTCTTATTGATTTCCTTCTGTGAACTACTTTTTCCATTGTTTACACCAACTGTAAGATGAGTTAGCTTAACACAAAACAGATTTTGATATTTCTGAATTTGGGGTTCCTTCCAGTAGAGGAGCCATGTCTACTAATGACTAATGTTTTACAGGAAGGGTGCTCCTTAACAGACATTCTGAAAGCCTGCAGATTGGTCTTTGAATAAGTTTAATTTATATATATATATATATATATATATATATATATATATATATATTTTAATTTTTTTTCATACTCGTATACATGTTACATGTGTGTCTAAATCGATATTGTAATATTTGCCCCTGATGAAGGCGCATGTAGTCCTGCACCGAAACGTATTGGGCGTTCCAGCTTTTTGTTTTTTTTTTACTGGGCACTTTATTCAATTTTTTTCACTAATGATTAGCATGTTGCTTTGACTGCTTTAGTATTTTTTTTTTAACTTTATTTCTGATTTTCCTCCTATATCTATCTAGTAAGTTTCAAAGGGAGAGAGACTTTGAACAGATTAATTTTCTGCAAGTCTACTGACAACAGGATTTTTCATTTTCCTTTATTACTGTCTATACTGATTTGGCCTTCGGACATTTCATTCTATCCAGTATCCTATTGGAATTTTGAAGGATACTTTTTCACCTATATATTGTGATGGAGGTTATTTGATGTGATTCAGGACTGCATTGTTTTACCATCCTCTCTGGTGAACCTATATAATCTTTTTGTGGTTGTTTTCTAATATTTGCTTGTTGTAATTGTCAGCTGTAAAACTACATACTATGAGCCTACGGTCTCCTATAAAACTTTAAGGGACATTATAGTCACCAGAACAACTAGAGCTTAATGTAGTTGTTCTGGTGAGTATAATAGCTCCCTTCAGGCATTTTCATGTAAACACTGCCCTCTGGGGACACCCCCAAGTAGCCACTCCTCGGATGGGCACTGGAGGGGCTTCCTGGCTCAGGGCTGCACAGTAAGCAGCACTGCCGTTCAGTGTCCCCATGCTCTGCATGGAGACGCTGATTTTTCCTCATAAAGATGCATTGATTCAATGAGGAGGTGCTGATTGGCAAAAACAGTATTTGGCTCCGCCCCCTTGCCAATCCAATGCTTTCCCCATGGAAAAGCATTGGATTGGCTAAAAATCAGCAATTTTGATGATGTCACCAAGGGGTGGGGCCAGCGCTGGCAGACCTGTAGAGAGCTGAAATATAAGGTAAGTTTTAACCCATTCTGAGGAGGCTAAGGGGCGCAAGCCACCCAAATGATGGGTTTTCACTACAGGGTCAGGAATTCATGTTTGTGTTCCTGACCTATAGTGATCCTTTAAGATTTGAATAGTCTTATGGTGAAGGCAATATAGATTTTATTAAAGGCAGGAGGTTAATATTGTATCTCCCATTTGCCTACCCTTATTTTTCTCCTGCTTTATTTTTCAGTGTAACCTGCTTCCAAGTTCACTGGCAGACTGTGTTCCTGATCGGTGTTTCTGCAGTACCATTTTTCTGTACACGTCTCTACAATTCCGGCTTTCAATTGTTTGCAGTTTGTTTATCTATGTCTGAGAATAAAGAGAATTATGCATAAGATGTTCTAGCTTATATAGACTATGATCTGTTTTCATTGGTTGATACTTTATTATGGATATCCAGTTTGGTTATGTTTTCTTTTAACTCTAACTTGTGTCTTTTACTTATGTCTTCTGCTGTGAAGATGTAAAGCAAGATTTATGAATAATATTCAACTCTAATTTATATTTTCCTTTCCCATAAGGCTCCGAAAATCCTACATTTTAGTGGCAAACGAAGCAACTTTTTACTGAATACTCAATTTAAACAAAATGCATAAACTGCAGTACCATATTAAGATGTTAGGCTCAGTTTGTAACTGCTGTTAAGGTCATTATATCAAATCTTATAGCTGGGGAAAACTGGCTACCATTGATTGTTATGGGTGGTTGAATGGAGTAATTTAGTTGTCAGCATTGTTATGTTTATTTAAACCAATTTAATAGTTGATATAAAAACCAACATGGCTCATAAAAGGAGTAGTATTTTGATGTCACAAAGTACGTTTTCTGCTATTTAAGTGTTAACTTCAAAACTTGCCGAGTGTGGTTTTTTTTCCTTCTTTACATAAGAGGTGGTTGAACGCAGCTTCAGGAAAAACATTGCTGAGATGGTTATAACCGCAAACAGCTACAATGTTGGTTTGCTACTATAACTAAATATGCTATTCATAAATATAAAATAAAAACCGCATATGGCGTCTATAAAGTTTAACTGGGGGAGGGGCAGCAATGGTGCTACTGGAAGTGGAGACTTTGGAGGGAATACCAAGCAATATTGTTGTGAGCCTTAAATATATCAGATACAGACAACTGTTTTGTTTTTTTTCTGCGGGAATGGTCAGTTTTAAGCAAACAAAATAAAATTAAAAAATTAAAAATGTAAGCGCAAATGGTTAAAAAATGCTGTAACAAGCAACTGAGCATGTCAAGATCTTTGGCCGTTTTTGGAGAAAGCATGAGATTTGATTTATTTTTTTAGATGTCTGAGCCTGATGACTTAGAAGAAAAGGCAATGTGCATGCTTGTCTTCCATGTTTTGTTTGCTCAAAAGAACACAGGTAAATGTTTTATGTAGTGACCTCCTTCTAAACTCCTGTGTCAGTCCAGACTCTCACACTCTTCTTACTCCTGTCAAGAATCAGATGGTGGCAGTCAGAGCAACTCTATTTTTCAGGCTGCTATTCTTATAATTTTTCTAGTTTGCTCTGTGATGCCACTTCTCCTCCCCATCTTTCTTTGGTCAACTTGTAAGATCAGCTTGTCGTTCTTTCCACTCATTTGTCTCTTGTAACTATTTTTCTGCTCTGATTTCCCCTTTGACTTTTCAAATCTATTCACTTTTGCTGATTAAAGAGCCTGCATTTAAAAGGAACACTATAGGTACCCAGACCAATTGATCTCATTGAAGTGTTCTGGGTGCAGTGTCCCTAGATCCTTAACCCTGCAGCTGAAAATGTTGCAGTTTTAGAGAAACTGTAATGTTTTAATCGCAGGGTTAAGACAGCCTCTAGCGGCTATCTACCAGTCAGCCTTTCTGCTATTACATGGAGTTTAACTCTGTGAAATTATGCTGGACATCCTCATGCTTTGCATGAAGATGTTTAGCGTCTTGCAAAATTCCATGGCCAGTTATGTGCATAGATCAGTGGTCGCTACGGCCTGCTCAACCAGTGGTATGTTTGAGCATATGGTGCAACCTTACATTCAAGTTATCCTGCCTTATAAATTTCATGTCCTGTAACTTCATTGGATTCTTCTGTACCTAATGTTAGGGAGGAGGATACCAGCTTCAGTGGGCTGTGTAATACGAGTATGAGCAGTACTATATTTCTTATCCCAGAGACATAAATTAACCCCTTTAGACCGGAGGGCGTACTATTACGCCCTCTAATAGGCGGCTCTAAACGCCGCCGGGCGTAATAGTACGCCCTCCAGTCTTTCGGTACTTACCCAGTCGCCGGCGGTCCCACGCCGGCGATTGCGGTGGGGGGGACTCCCAGGGAGCCCCCCGCGGCACGTCCGTCCTCCAGGAAGCCCCCCGGCCATGTGAGAGTGGGGTCCTAGCGAGGACCCCACAATCACATGGCCGGGGATAGCTGGCTTCTACATTGCCAGCAGGGGGGCTGCCTGTAATTACAGGTGGTCCCCCTGCTGGCTGAAAATAAAAATGAAATAAGTTAATCAGTGTAAAAAAAACTGATCTAAGTATATATATATATACACATATACATACACACATGTACACCGTCTAGGTGTATTTTACTATTAATATATATATAATTATATATATATATATATATATATTAATATCAAATTACACGTAGACTGATTAAATATATACATAATTATTGTTATATATATATTTATATATATTATAAAAAAAATTAAAATGTAAATACGTTAAAAAATAAAATAAAATAAATTATTAAAAATAAATAATTAAAAAATATATAGATGTGTGTTATTTCGTTCTAACTGTATTGTGAAATTAATATATATATATATATATATATCAAAATACACGTAGAACAAAATAATATATATATCTATATACATAAATATATACGTATATATCACTATATATATATATATACCTATATATAAATAAAAATATTTTTTTAAATTATATAGATATATACATATACACATACATATATATATACATATATTAATTCTACATATATATTTGTATGTATTATTTTGACATAATTAGGTATCTTAATTAATTACAATTAGCAGGACCTGCCTGACAACCCATGCCGAAAGTAAAGGGAATTTAATTTGCTAGCACTATATATAACCCTATAACTTTCCGAGACACCATAAAACCTGTACATGGGGGGTACTGTTCTACTCGGGAGACTTCGCTGAACACAAATATTAGTGTTTCAAAACAGTAAAATGTATTACAACGATGATATCGCCAGTAAAAGTGAAGTTTTTTGCATTTTTCACGCACAAACAGCATTACACGGACAATATTATTGCTGTGATACTTTTTACTGTTTTGAAACACAAATATTTGTGTTCAGCGAAGTCTCCCGAGTACAACAGTACCCCTCATGTACAGGTTTTATGGTGTTTTCAAAACTTACAGCGTCAAATATAAGGCTTGCGTTTCATTTTTTTCACATTAAAATTCGCCAGATTGGTTACATTGCCTTTGAGACCCTATGGTAGCCCAAGAATGAAAATGACCCCTATGATGGCATACCATTTGCAATAGTAGACAACCCAAGGTATTGCAAACAGGGTATGTCCAGTCTTTTTTAGTAGCCACTTAGTCACAAACACTGGCCAAAATTGGCGTTTTTTGCATTTTCACACACAAACAAATACTAACGCTAACTTTGGCCAGTGTTTGTGACCAAATGGCTACTAAAAAAGACTGGACATACCCCATTTGCAATACCTTGGGTTGTCTACTATTGCAAATGGTATGCCATTATGGGTGTAAATTTCATTCCCGGGCTACTATACAGTCTCAAAGGCAACGTAACCAATCTGGCGAATTTCAATTTCAAATGTAACGTGCTATATTTGACCCTGTAACTTCCCAAAACGCCATAAAACCTGTACATAGGGGGTACTGTCTTACACTTGAGACTTTACTGAATACAAATATGTGTATTTTATTGCAGTAAAAGCAAACAGTATTATGACACTGACCATTAAAATGTCATGTAGAACTAAAAAAATAAAAAAAAATTGTATTTTCTCCCATTTTTTTCATATTAAATTATGTTTCATAGCTAAATATTTGATATTAAATGAAAGCCCTGTTTCCCCTGAATAAAATGATATGTAATAAGGGTGGGTGCATTTACTATGAAAGAGGTGTATTACGGTTGGACAGACATGTAGCGCAAATGCCAGGTTTTGTTTACATTTTGTTTTGTTAACAACGTGTACATTTGGCTCCGTCCTTAAGGGGTTAATAAGATACCATAGAAATGTAGTAATTAATTGCACCTGAAACAACGCCTTCCAAGTTCTAGTTCATATATATTGCTTGGTGTGCTTAAGAAGGAGATTAGAATGCTTCCCTATCTAAAGCTAAAGATTTAAAAAAATTCCTAAAACATTGTCAGGTCCTTTATAAACTGTTAGAGGGCTTAAGCTTGTTTAGGCAGGTTCTTTTAACACCTTAGTGAACAGACCGCTTTTAAATTTTCTTACCGTTAAGGACCAGGACTTTTTACATTTCTGCGGTGTTTGTTTTTAGCTGTAATTTTCCTCTTACTCATTTACTGTACCCACACATATGATATACCATTTTTCTTGCCATTAAATGTTCTTTCTAAAGTTACCATTATTCTCATCATATAATTTACTATAAAAATTTTTTAAAATATAATGGAAAAAAAAAAAACCTCCCAACTTTTTCTAACTTTCACCCCCCAAATCTGTTACGCATATACAACCTCCAAAAATCACCAGTGCTAAATAGATTCTAACTTTTGTCCTGAGTTTAGAAATACCCAATGTTAACCTATTCTTAGCTCTTTTTTTTTTTTTTTTGCAAGTCATAGGGCTATAAGTACAAGTAGGACATTGCTGTTTCCAAATACAGGCATACCCCACTTTTAAGTACACAATGGGACCAGAGCATGTATGTAAAACGAAAATGTACTTAAAGTGAAGCAATACCTTTTTTCACTTCCCAATGCATGTACTGCATTGCAATAGTAATTTACTGTCATAACTGATACTGCACCTGCAGATTTCCAGTAATTTATTTAGTGATTTCCAGTGGGCTTTTATTCAGTTAAAACAAACAGTAAAAAAAAAAATATATATATATATATATATATATATATATATATATATATATATATATATATATATATATATATATATATATATATATATATATATTTTTTTTTATTCATTAACCTTTTAACTTTAATTTTTCACCAGCATGGGGACTCCCTGTCAGTTCAGGCATTCCCCCTGCAGACAGCACTATGGGCGCCTATTGCGGCCATGTGAACGCTCTTTTAGAGCGGTCACATCTTCCTTGTGGTCCTAATTTGCAAAGGGGGGACTGTCTGACAGACGGAGCGGAACACCGATCGCGTAAATAAGTAGAAATACCGCAGACCTACTAGGTCCTTAAGGACAAATGTTGTTGGACGTATCTAGTATGTCCGCAGTCGGGAAGGGGTTAAATAACCAAACTATGGTCTTGATTTAGTTAAATTCGCCCAAACCAGTTGATAATATTAACTTTTGTCAGCTGATTTTTTTTCCCAATCGAATTTTGGCAAGGTTTAATGACTCGTGCTGGCAAGATGTGTTTTCCAGAAGCAAGCCTTAAATTAACTAAAATTGCAAGCACCCTGACTAAAGGGGGACACGGACAGCCTAGAAATTATTATTCCTGCACACCTCATCTACCATTAGGCTCTGCAGCCTACCAGGACTGCCGACCTGACAGTTGGCCGATGTGCCGCTCAGAGTTGCGCATTCCACAAGGAACCTATCAAAGCCCAGTCACCCCCCTTCCTCTGGACCGGTGGGGCTTATCCCAGTGCCCACTGTGTATACTCCCTACTCTGCAGTGGACAACTTGAGCTCAGTGTTCCTGTTCGTTGTGAATTAAAGATGGCTGCCATGCTAGGACATGCATTAAATCAAGCAGACCTAGAGATCCAGGACTGGGTGCAGAGATTCGAGGCCAGATTTGATGAGCTGTGCTGGGATTTCTGGATTTGAGTAACCTGCAACCCCCAATTTACCTTATTGGATCCAATCTATGTTGTCATATATGCCTCCTCTATTATGTCCGTACAACCTGTATGTATGTCACTGCATCACAAAAAAAAAAAAAAACGTCAAGCAGCCAAACGCAAACAGGTCGGCTGCTCAAAATAAACCCTCAATTAATGTACCTTTATTGGCCATGATCCCCACATTAGTATAAGGGAGGATTACTGTGGAACTGCAAGTTTCGAGAGAAGTGAGATTTTCCTGTCAGTTTGCTCTGATTGAGGTTAAATTGTGTGGGGAAGCCCTTATAAATGCATTTTCCACCTTGAAGCTCATCCTGAGCAGAGTCCTCAGTAGGTGAAGATGGATTAATGTTTAAGTCTCAATATTTGTTTTGTTGCATTTTTAATGCTGATAATAGACATTTATTTGGCCTTTTGTGGGGCTGAAAAAAGATTTAATAAGACTTCTGATGGAAATTATGTTTTTGCGATGAGCAGCATGGTGGGTGGGGACATAAGGAAGTAAAACACCCTTACTTATACTATATCTGGGGATCATATTGATTCCAACAGGCTGGTTTTAATTATTTACCCCATTCCACCCCCCAGCCCCCCCAATAAAAATAAAATCCCAATATTGTGCATATTGTGCTTTGAATAAGACTTCACATGTGTCCGATAAATGGAATTAAAGGGTCACTCCAGACTCCTAGACAACTTTAGCTTGCTGAAAAGCTGTGTGTGAGAAGAGTGTGTCCTCTTTTTTCATTTTGAAAAATGTGGCAGCAGACAAGAGAATTGCAGGTTTTGCAAGCTTAATTTTAGGCATATCCCCTATAAAAAAGATACACAATGAAATGCATGTAAGTTTTCATTTTGAGTATATGTACTAAACAGTGTTTTTTGTTTATATATTTTGTATTTGGCCAGTGGAGTGTTCCTTTAAATTACAGTATAGGTATCTGTTTTGAATTCAAAATAATTATTGGCTAACAATAAGCCTTTACCAGCAGTAATTTAAATTGATTCATAGTATATACATCCCAGGCTGTGTACAGCGATATACAATATATAGATACAATACATGGAGTTTGACAGTCCATTAGATCATCATTGGTCCGACCAGGGCCGGCCTTAGGGGTGTGCGAGCTGTGCGACCGCACAGGGCGCCATGGAACAGGGGGCGCCCTGTGGCCGACACAGCTCACTCATGGCCGGAGTGCAGGGGAGCTAAAAGAGGTACCTGGCTGGAGGATTAATTATTCTCCACCCGGGTCTATTTAAAAAAAAAAAAAAAATCGCGGCAGAGGGGGCGGGGTTTACCGAGCGCCGGAGGCGGGGCTTATCGAGAGGCGGAGACGGGGCTAATACCTCCCGAAGCCCCTGCTGTACAGGAAGAGGGAAAGATGCTTCCCCATCAGCCAACTGCATCCACTGGGAAGAGGTAAGTGTGTGTGTGTGACTGTTTGCCTGTTTGTGTGACTGTCTGTCTGTGTGTGTGTGTGACTGTCTGTCTGTGTGACTGCCTGTCCTTGTGTGTGTGTGTGTGACTGTGTCTCTGTGTGTGTGTGTGACTGTCTCTGTGTGTGACTGCCTGCCTGTGTGTGACTGTCTGTCTGTGTGACTGCCCATGTATGTGACTGCCTGTGTGTGTGACTGTCTGTCTGTGTGACTGCCTGTGTGTGAGACTGTCTGTCTGTGTGACTGTCTGTGTGTGTGACTGTCTGTCTGTGTGTGTGACTGCCTGTGTGTGTGACTGCCTGTATGTGACTGCCTGCCTGTGTGTGTCTGTCTGTAACTATCTGTCTGTGTGTGACTGCCTGCCTGTGTGTGTGACTTTCTATCTGTGACTGCCTGCCTGTGTGTGTATAACTGTCTATGTGTGTGTTACTGTGTGTCTGTCTGTGTGTGTGACTGCCTATGTGACCGTCTGTCTGTGTGTGTCGCTGTAGCTGTGCCATTGTTTGTGCCTGTGCCTGTATGTGTGACTGCCTTTAACTGAGTGTGTGTGTACATGCCTGTAACCGAGTTTAAATTTCCCCCACCCCTTCCTGCAAGGCCGCACTTTGACTGACAGACGCTCACTCACTGACAGACGCACACTCACTGACGACACATACACACTCACTGAC